TACACATATGCACATGTTTCTGAAATACTGAAAACCACCTAATGGTTTCAGTAGACATGGCTCATTCTACCTGCTACAGTTCCTTTCACTCTACATTTTTTTTCTTAAAGGCATTGTAATTTTTATATTTTAAAAATGCAGGAAAGAAATCACATGTTCTCAAAGGTTTTATTTAGCACATTTACAGAGGCAAAATTTGCATATTTAAGAAGAGTCTGGCTAGTCTGTGTGAGCTGGGCACCATCCTTCTGCTTATTCAATGAAATATGAGCCTGGTTTAAAAGTTGTGAAACTCATTTCTGAAGTGTTTCCCTCTTTTATAAGGAAACGTAAGGAGTAAATGCTATGCTTTTTTGGGGGGGAGAAAATGGAAGGATAGGAGAGAAAAGAGGAAGAGGAAAGAAGAAGCAAAATAAATGAGAGAAAATAAAATGCTGTGAACTGACAGCAAGATTAATGAGAAGAAATGAAACCTTAGCCTTGGCTGGCACAGATGGTTTTGTCCTTCCCAGCATAAACACACAAGAAAACTTTACATGCTTTTACTTGTAGTTTGTGGGGTTTAAAATGCTGGAACAAAGTATGAATCAGGTGTTAACTTCACTGGGGACGTGTCATTTAATTGTAGCTTGGTTGCTTTTTTCTTTTTTTGTCTCTCAAGTCATCAAGTAAAAATCCTCTAGTTTTATTGGACTGGGTCTATACAAAGCTAGGCTGCTTCATCAACCCACTGTGCACCCCTCAGTCCTAATCCTGATTACATTTGCCTTAGTTGATCTCTCTGAAGCCAACCCACTTCAGTGTCCTTATATGCTTGCATACTTCAATGGCAAAACAAAAAAACCAAACCTGTGAAGTGCTCTTGTCTGTGCTGCTTTTTTTTCAGTAAACCTCATATATCCAAAGAGGCAAAACTTTATTATGTACATTTTACAATCAAGTGAATTAATGATTATTGAGAGATCTCTAAGTTGCTTTCCTACTTGCCACTGTTTTGGTCAGCTGCAAATTGAAATACTGTATAGAGAGAATTTTTAGTGGAAATTTTGCTGTGAGCAGTTTTGGAATGTAAAATAACTTTTTTTTGTTGTTAGAGGAAGTGTCTTTATAACTGGGAAAACAGCAATCCTCTGACAACTCAGAACTGTTAATTTACCTTTTGTCTAAGTTGCTGAGGCTGAAAAATAAATGTTTTCACTCCCCCAAAAAGTGTGAGCAATGTATTCAGTCTCTGAGGAGCAGGCACTAATTGCCTGTGTGGTCACAGCAGCTTTCATCACCAATGCTATTAACTGGAGCTACTGTGGTATAAAGCAATAATAGTAATAATGGTAATGCAAATCCAGCCTTGATTGCAGCAGAGCAGATCCCAAGCAAGGAAAATTAGTGTAGCCCTCAGGGCACAGCAGGGGGAATTTAATGCAGTGCCTCTAGGGTTGTTGTGAGCATAGGGAACGGGCACTCTTTCAGTGTGGTTTTTGGTCCTATTTTGTGGACTCCAAGTTTTTGTCAGGATCAAAGTTCAGGGTTGGTATACAGCTCATTCCAGCAGGAAACACTGTCTTCCTGGCTGTCTGGCTACCACCTTCCATCTTTCTGGAGATACAATTAATGCCTCTCTTCACTTGAGTTGTACTGAAAATGGGAGAGCTTTTTGTGTATTGCTTCCTTTACCACTGTTGGAAGATACTAGTAGAAAATTGGGGAAAAGCGCCACATAACTGAGATGAAAATAAATAAATTGTTCCTTATTTTTTCTGTAGTCCTTTATATATTGACATTCAGATAACACTGCATGTCTGAGAATAGGCCAACCTTACAATTACCCATTAAGGAGTATTTGCTTTGGCCTGTAATAAAAGAATTCTGAGGGATTCCCCTTCCCTATTCTTTTAGTTAAGCTTAATGGGCAGTTCATCTGCTAAAACTTTTCTCCTTCTGTAAAAACAAACTTGCATTTAAAAAAACCTTCTGATAGGAATTTGAGGAAGTCTTTTGACCTGTTGACTGCTGAGATGCCAGTTGTTGCTACAATGTGCATTTTGAATTTTGTTGATGATTCCTTGATGAGAAGAGCTCTGGCCCTGCTTGTTAGTCCCTCTTAACTCTGAAACAGGGCCTGTGGTTTTAGTCATGGTTGATCCCAGTAGGCTGTACTGCTTCCTGCCTTGATTACTAGAGGGAGAGAGAGATGCTTCTCTTACAGGTAAGAAGTGGAGACAAAATTATGTTATCATCCTTTATCAAAGATTTTGGGTTGACAAGACCAAGAGCAGATGCAGGAGATTTCAACTATTTGGGTTTTTTTTGTTTGTTTGTTTAAAAAAAAAAAAAAAAGGAATAAAAAAAAGCCTTTGAGAAATTCAGGCAGTATTTGTTAGAGCCGATGGAGTAGAACAAACAATGTAGTCCTCTCGTGAAAATAATTTAACATTATAATAAGAGGAATAGTAATTTAAGACATAAACATCCACTGTGCCTCAGTATATGAAGTACAAGAAGAGAAAACAAAATATAAAAGCCCTTAGTGGTAGTTCCTTGCAACTTAATCTTTGACTAGCAAAACTTGAATGTGTAATGTCCCTGGTGATTGAGGAGAATTTGTGAAATAAAGTGGAAACTTGTAAAATTAAATGAACTGTAACATGGCAGGCAAAATAGTGAGACAAATTTCAGAGGGAACTAAAAGGAAAAGAGAGAATATAGCTTCTTGATGTTTGGCCAGCTTTGGGAAACTCTGCCTGGGTAAATTCCAAATTATGGAAACTGTAATAGAATCAATTTCTCTTCATAGTTTAAATGTGTCTATAATCATATTTCAAAGTCTCACAGATGATTTGCTAACAAAGAAATTGGAATATATGTTTTGATTTTACTTTTTAAGTCATGAAGGGTTTTGGAGTTACTTGTTAAAAGTAAAAATCTATAAGCCTTGTGTGACACCCTCTCTGAATCCTTGGGGAACAGAATTTTTACCATTGTCGTGAATATATGGGTTTTGATCGAAGGTAACACAAATCCTCATAGGCAAAAAGACAGTAAAGATAGCCTTTAATATCAAAGATAAATTTTGCCTCATGAGATTGAACAGCCTGGATTATGAATCACTGATCTTGAGGACTAATAGCAAGACCTGAGTAACTGTTTTCTAAACAAGGTCAAGAGCTGTGTTGCATCCCTGGCCTGCTCAAGGAGCTGACAAAGCATGGACCTATTTATGAGTATATTATAGAAATGCCTGTTTTTAATATATATTGCACATGCCTGACTCTCACATTTTGAGAAGATACAATGTCATCCACACAGGGAGATAATTAAGGTGTGAAGGAATTCAAGGGAGAGTAACCTTCTACTGAACAAAGTACACTGTTTGAGGTTATGCAAAGCCTAGAGGAAGGGTGGGTTGTAGTGCATAGTTCCTCTTTGTGCCACAGAAAATGAAGTGTGTAAGTTCAGATCTTAGAGGGAAGTTCTCAGTTCCCAGAGGGCCCTATCAGAGAAATCCTGTCTCTTCCTCTGTGCTTAAATTTATAAAGTCAAGAGAATATATAAGTGTTCAAATTATGAAAAAAAGTTTTATATTCTGTTCTTTTTATATATTTTTTAAATTGCCTAATATTTCTGGGCTACTTTCACTATTCTATTTTAAACTGATTATCCTCCTACAAGTGATATTCTCTTGCCATATTACCTGCATTTAGAATTAGCTTTTAGTTTTACTTAGAAAATGAAGTCTGAACTAAGAGCAGATCTATAAAGCTAGAAGTAATTAGATAAGGGCAAATTATGGAGGCAACTTACCTGCCCTTTGCATTGAAGTCCGTGATGCCAGGTACTTTCTCAAATTGTGTTACTGATGTCCAGCTGAGATACAGTCAGTAGAAGCAACAGACTTGTAGCTGCAAATGTCAGGTGAGCTTGTATTCCTAGCAGCAAAAAGGTATTTACATCTAAAATTAATAACATACTGAGGAAAGCTGTATATATACAGGAATTAAAATAGAATAACAGTATGTAAAACTAACCATGATTAAGTTTTCTGAATTTGTCCTGTACTAACAATATTCCACTTAAGAGAAGTCCTAAGATAAAGGATTCAGAAACAGCAATATTATGATAGATCTGGTAACTGAAATCCCAATTTACTTTGAATCATTTTTTTTCTGGAAATTAATGACTTGGAATGCCTTTACTAATATGTTGCTTTACTGAGTGAAATGTATGTAAAATTGACTCTTAGGCTGATTAGAACAGCAGAATATGACTATGATTAAAACCACTGTGGGTATCAGTCATCAGATATCTGGAATTTGCTATTTTTTTAATGCAAGTTAAACAGCTATTTTGTATTTTAATTTTGTTACATATAATATAAAATAAAATCATTTCTTAAATACAGAATATGATCTTTGATGGGTCATTTTCACTGATTTTAATTTTGCTGCCCAGAAGTAGAAATTGGGCTATATTTAGTTCTACAAATTTGTCACCTAGTGATATCTCAGTTTCTTTTATATGAAAGAATCAGCAATGACCAGTTAAATAAAATCATGCAGCTTTGGTATTGTTCATTATCCACAAGCCAAGTGTCCGTGCTCCTGTGATAAAATTAGCATCTCTGATACTCCACTGTGACCACAGGCGGAGAAAGGCAGTAGGTAGCAAAAGCGGAACTGCTAAGCATGCCCACATAAGAATGTCACACTTAGGTAACTGAGTGTCCCTCAGGTCAGCCTACGATAAGAGCAAAGTCAAACAAGGCTGAATCCTTGATGTTTTGTGTTTTAAGTATCTGAAAATTGTTCACGACCAGCCTCGACCTACAAGACCTCAAATGATCATATGAGCAAGGCAATAAATCGGTGGTAACTTGCCCTGGGGCCCATGTTGTAGTTGTGATGTTGTGAAAGTTGGAAGTTAGCCTGTCCACATAGATCTGCCTGCTTTTTCAGGATTCTCAGACAGGAAAATTTTATATTCACTTTTACTGAAGGGGAACTATGGTGGCTGAATGGGCATGGCTGAAGGGTTCTGCATCGTATCAGTGCAGTCCAGTGGAGATGCACAGGAATACCACAGCATCAGGAGAGCTGGGGAACCACTTGCTTTCCAAAACTCCACACCTGAGCAAGATTTTGGCAAAGCCAACGGTTTGTAGTGCTGCAGTATTTGCCAAACATCCAGGACGTGGCCTCCCGCTGTGGGACAGACTGATTCACCTTCCTGACAGAAATCAGAAATGGAATGTAGTGGGCATAACAGAAAATAATTTCTGTAGGAAAAGACACTTCAAAAATTATGTTATCCAGAGGAATGGACAGCAGCTTTTGCAATGCCGACATGCTTCAACTTGGACTAGTACAATTTTACATCCAGGCTATACAAAAGCAAACTTTCAAATCATGTCAAGTGTCCAGGAATACCAAAAAGAAGAAAAAAAGTGTAAAGGTAACTGACATTATCATGCAGCACACAGCAAATGTTGTATTTAGAAAAAACAAAAAGCAAAACCAGCTTATGTCTTTGTTTACTCTCAGGGTTTGGCCATTGGTAAAAGAATTACTATATGGGGATGTTTTCTAGCTACCAACCTTTTTTTATTTTTTTTTTAAATCAGTGATAATTGTGGTTTTTAGTTTTGTCTTCTATTTAATTTAATAGCTTTGTGAAGAGCCCTTATAACAATGTGGTGAGTACTTACTGGGGTTTTCTGTGTGATACCTAATACAAAATAATATCTCTTATTTTAGAGCTTTTAAAAAGTATTTGTCTGTCTCTTTATGATCTTTATAAGCTGATCAAAAATATTTTCTGAACTTGGCTTTTTTTATAAAGCATATATTTGATACATTAAAAATGGAAAAACAAAAGAAAGTATTCTTTTCTACTTTCAGAGTGTTCAGCTCTCACCTGTGACTGTGTTGTTTGCCTTCTTTCTTAATATTAACCATACTCAAAGCCTCAGTAAGTGCATGTACAGAGCTCGAGTGGGACTTCTTGTTAGGAATATTCTCTGCCTCACTAGTCAGGAGAATAAACCATTTTCTCTGAGGTAGGTTGTTTTGTTCACATCAGCACAGCATTGAAGGAATTCCTTTTAAGAATCACAGTTGCTAAGGTGTTAGCACAAAGGTAGTGCTTAAGTTATTCTTATTCGTCTTTAAACTTGGATAAATAGTTCTCCATTGCTCTTCGCCTAAAAAATAATTACTGTATATTGGCAGGGGGGATTACAAGTTGTTTTCTTTTACTTAAGTCTTGCGTCACTCCAGGAAGAAAGATTACAGTGTCAGGCAGGATATCACCTCATGAAAAAGTTAAACTGGTCTAAGTACCTGATTTCTTTAGATTTAGTTGTGCTTTACCTCAGAATGCCTCTTTGCTAACAGATGTCAGGTGTTGATCGCTTTAACGTCTTACTAAGGGCTGTCAGGAGGCTACCAAACCCAGACAGTCCCATCCAGGAGCCTGTTAATTATGTTATGTCAAGCTAAATTAGCCTGTTTTCTGCTTGGTTTTATTTTTGAACAAATGAAACTTCTTACCTTGATGTTTTCATGTGAAGTTGAGGCAGGGAATGACTCAAAAAAGGTACATGTTTTAAGTATTGGCCATTACTTTCTCAAGAGATAAGCTCTGTAATTAACTGATGTCTGCTAACAGGGTCTTCCAATTATGATATATGGGGAGGCTTAACAAACTGGGTTGTCTGGGTTACAGGTCTATAATTTCTCTTAGTAATATTTGTTCAGGGACCATCTTAAAAGTTGTCCAAACTATTCAAGAATTTTGTTTGCTCATTTGTTGGTTGATGTCTCAAGGAGCAAACACTTTCTGACAAAACTGTGTGCTACCGATCCATATCATGAATAGTGCAAGAAAAAGCAAGCACAAACCCTGGAGGAGTCCTGATCAGAAAAGAGCAAGCTTCATTCTCTTTTTACCAAATTTATTCAAGGTGTCAAAAATATTTTGAGGGATAACTGGAATTGTAGTGAATCTGAACGTTTAAATATAAACGATGACATTCTTTGTTATTCAAGCAGACTAATGAGTCTGAAGTATTTCAATAAAAGGCACATCATACGTGCATTTTATGAGTCACAGACAAATTTAGTGTCATGTCATAACCGAGGTACAGTGGGTTTTGTGAGAGGAACAGTGAGAAATAACTAAGTTGGTACACGTGGAGAAAAGAGGTGTGCTGTTGTCTAAGTAAGATTTTTGTCTAGTTTGTACCACAGGGCAGCTGCTTTGAATCTTCCTTCATCTGTTGCAAACCCAAGGAAATAATTTTATGTCAGAAAAATTTAGCTTTTTTTCCTTCAACTATTATAAATGTAGCATAGACAAAATGATTATTTTTTTTTAATGTCTTATCTTCCACTGAGGCATACTCCAGGAACTGTTGAATGCTGTTGCGACTTTTCAGCACCAGAAGTCCATAATCCTACCTACCTTATGATTTAGTCACAAGTAGAGTTTTCAAAATAAAATAAATACCATGAAGAGATAATTTTCTGTTCTTGTAAATGCTTGTTGTTATTTTGGATTCTGATGTTGGAGGTTTTCTTAGCTTAATCTCTAAGTTTGTGTAGTCATACATCTGAGGGACCATTTTGAGTCTTTCATCATAGTGCATAAAGTGAATGAATAAGGTGGTGTAAATACATACATTAAAGAGAGATGGTAACTCATTTTGTGGGCACTGAGATAGTTGTATTTGACAACTTATGGGTGTTGCAAAAGCCACATTAGTAGTTTTGCTCAAAAGCTGTTGCAGTTTTCAGTATATGTTCCTTATTTTATGAGAAGATCTGTCTGGAATGCAGCCCATGTTATGAAAGTGCTGATTTGTGTTTGCTCAGAAAAGCCATTATCTAATTTCTTTTTTTTTTTTCCCCAAAACCATCAGAGGTGGCTGAGACAATTCAGGCAACAATAAAATCCATAAATAGGAAATATAACAGTTATTTTGTAATGTGTAAAAATTCATTTTACAAAACTAGGAACTGATAACACAGGCATACAAAACTGTGAGGAGTTCAGAACGATATGTTTAATCTTTGCAACTACATGTTTAAATGTGCAAAATTTTTAAGTAAATCCTGAATTTTTATTCATCTTTATGCATGAGTCTGAACAGCAACCAATATAAGATCCTTCCATTTGGTCCTTCAGAAGTGGCACTCTGCCCTGACTGATTTGTGATTTGAATGCTCTGCAATACCTCCCACATACTGACAGTGCCGAATCTTTTAGAATGGCGTGCAGGGGCCCTATCTGCAGCATTGCGATACCCAGGACTCTAGACCAGGGGTGCACAGTTTGGAAAAAGTCAGGAGAATAGGACTCTTGCAGGTAATATTCCACAGCAGATTAAATTGCACTGCATGATACTTCTTTTTTCTGTGTCAGGGAACTCTGTTGGTTGGGCTGTAGCATCCAGAGGGACGCTACAGGATTTTTGTCTTTCCTTAACATTTCTGTGGGTTCATTTTAGTGGGTTTTGCAACAAGCTAAGTCACAAGAGAAGTAAGTGCATCTTAATGGGGGTATTTCATTGTTTGTAATTAAAAATCAGTCATAATTTGTAAAACAGGAGTTAATGAAGAGCTGAATGGTATAGTGTAAGGCGGTCTCTTCTGCAGATTCCCTCTTTCAGGCATTCACAGCCTGATTTCTGCCTACCAATTAATATCACTGACTGCATTAGACTTACTTCTGATTTACAGCAGAGTGAGTATATGAAAACCTTTGGGCATGTGCATTCCAGGCACAAGTTCAACAAGTAATTCCAGCCTTTTTCAGAACAATGGGCTAACACCTTAGACTGTGAGAGGTTTGAGCTTTGGATCCTCTGCCGTTACAGTATCAAAATTTCTGGTTTTTTCCTGGCCTGTTTCCTTGAATTGAAGGGTTTATTCTGATGGTGATAAACTTCCATGTGTTCACATAATCAGACACATGTGAACTCATAAAATTCCAAGCGTGATTTTACATTGTTGGAGGCAACAAAAGCTCAATATGGCATGATGTAAAGACACGAATATTCTAATAGGAATACAAAACAGAGAAAAACTGTGAATATTATTCTACTCTACTTTTAGACTTTTGATAAAGATACTGTCTGACTGTCTTGTATCAGACAATTTAATTCAAATGTAGGCTAACAAATGAAATGAACCTACAGGATTGGACCCTAAAAGATTAAAATGAAAATATTTTAGGACTATTTCAGTTTTTAAAATCTTTGCAGTGTTCTTTGAACTGATTTGTTTCCAAGGGAACAACAATCTGCAGAGCTATAAGTCTCTTTAATAGTAGCATATCACAGGTAAGAAACCCATATTCCCTGGTAGTGTTCATAATTTTTTGTTTGTTGGACAAGTAATTTTTCATTTTTTCTTCATCCTTCACAGTTTCTTGTCATTTAATTTCCTTGTGCTGTTAGAGGAACTCTTGACAAAAATAGTACATGTGACACATTTCTGAGCATTATTGATATAACAATAGAAAATAAGAAATATTTGAGGGATTTATTTTGGAGCAGAAAGTAAGTTACAGGCTGTGCCGTGTTGAAATACCATTTCCTCAGGTGCCATCCTGGCTGGAACAGCTCTGTCTACACAAGGCTTCAATTCTGTTTAGCTTTCCAGTCCTAAACCAAATCCAGTCAGAGGGGGAAAAAACAAGAAAATAAAAGATTTGTGGAAATTTTGACTTTGCTGGCAAAGCAAATCCACATGGGAAAAATTCTCACTGAGAGTTTAAAGCCCAGCTCTCCAAAGCTTTTCTGGGAGGTGTAAAAGTACTTAGGTATTGTGTTTTGCTAACATGTAAAACACAGCCTCACCTCTGTGGGAGCTCTACATAGGTTCCTGTTGGCAGTACAGGGAGTCTTTTCATGGTAAATGAACAACCCAGGTATGGTACTTGGGAATGTTTTATTGGGAGCATGGAGAAGTAAACTCAGCAAGCTGTATATGTTACATACACTACAGCATTACCAACCTATCCCCTCAGTGGGAATGGTTTGGGGGTTTCACTATAAACAACTATTGCAGAATTTCTTGAATGAAACACAAGCATTTTTTATGAAGTGCTGAACATCCATTATTGAAAAATCAGATCTTTCATGAGACATGCTTTTTATCACAGACAAACTCACTGTTTTTAAAAGCTAGATGATGGGCCTGAACTAAAATGAAAATTAACTTTTATTGTGTGCTTTTTCACACTGCATTTTACAGTGGTATTTGTTGAGTTAGACAATGGTGAATGAATGAGGGTTCATTAGGGCTTTACTTGTTGGATTTCAGTAACTGTTTGTGGTCTTAATGAAATAAAATGTTTAAATTAGTAGAGTTTTAGGAGAACAAGTTCATTTTAGAGGCAATCTCATTGACTTCAGTAGCACTGATCTCAATAGAGTTCAGTTTGACTTT